ATCATCATCATTATCGTCATCCTCATCGTCATCATCATCAACCTCACCAGGGGACTTATAATGATCATGCGAATATGCATCGTCATCCGCATCATCAGCATCATCATCATCATTATCTTATTCATCATCATCATTTTCATCATGACCATCATTATAAACCTCCGAATATTCATCCACTGCCGAATCATCCTCTATCACCGCATCATCATCATCATCATCATCATCATCATCTTAATCCAAATCAACATCATGATCCAAATCGTCATCGTGCGATTCATCTTATTCAGCATCTTCAACTGATTCATCATTATAGTGATCTTTATTTTCATCATCACGATCGTCGTCATCGTCACCAGCACCCGAGACATCTTCCACATCATGATCATCATCTTCATCATCACCATCATCATTACCATTAACATCATCATCAGCAACAACCGAATCATGATAATCTTCACCATCATCATCATCATCATGAATATCATTTTCGGAACCATCATCTTCATCGTCATCAAAATCATCTTCATCAACATCATCATCATCATCATCATCATCATCAGCAGCATCCGAATCATCTTAATCATCGTCATCCTTATCATCTTCGTCATCATCAACATCATGATCATCATCATCATCATCATCATCCGAATAATCATCATTTTTACCGGCAATATCATCAATATCATCATCATCATCATCTTCATGAACATCATCCGTAACATCAGCATCTTTGTCACCGTCATCGAAATCATCATCACCATCATCCTCCGAATAATCATCCTCAGATTCAGCATCATCAACATAATCAACTTTATCATAATCATCACCATCATCATCATCAACGTCATCCTCATCATCATCATCATCATCATAATCAACATCAGCGCCATCATGACGATCATAATTTTCATCCTCATCATCCGGAATGTCAGCATCATTATCATCATCATCATCATCATCATCATCATCATCATCATCATCATAATCATCAACATCCCCATCATCATCCTCATCGTCATCAACATCATCACCATCTTCATCGTCGTCATTATCATCTCATCAACATCATCAGAATCATCATCCTCATCAACATCGTCAACATAATCCTCATCATGCTGATCATTATCATGATCTACAATTTCGTTGTCATCATCACCATTAAAATAGTCATCATCCGAAACATCATCATCATTAACATCATCATCATCATCCACTTCATCATCACCATCATGATCGTCAACATCATCCTCATCAACATCATCATATTCATCATCATGATAAAAATCCTGATCATCATCATCATCACCATCATCATCATCATCATCGTCACCAACATCATCACCATTATCCTCACCATCATCATCGACATCGTGCTCAGAAGCATGTTCAACATCAGCCGAATCATCATCCATATCTTCATCCGAATCATCAGATTCGTTATCAACATCATCATCATTACCATCATCGTCTTTATCATCATCATTACCATCGTCATCATCATCGACATCATCATCATCATCATCATCATCACCATCATGATAAACATCATTTTCATCATCATCATCATCCGTTTTATCAGCATCATTATCATCAGCATCGAAATCCTAATCACCATTATCATCCGAATAATCATCATCAAATTCAGCATCATCATCACAATCATCTTCGTCATCATCATTATAATCATCGTCATCGTCATCATCATCATCCTCAGCTTCGTCATCATCATCATCATCATCATCATCATCATCAACATCATCCAAATAATATCCACCATCATCTTCCGAAAGATCATCATCTCATTCAGCATCCTCAACATCATAGTCATCATCCAAATCCCCAACATAATCATCATCATCGTCATCATGATCATCCAAATTACCATCATCCTCGTCATCATCGTCATGATCATCATCCTTCTAATCATCATCATCGTCATCCAAATCCGCATCACCATCATCATCCATGTCATCGTCATCATCATCATCATCATCATCATCAATATCATCCTCATTATCAACGTTATCGTCAACAACATCAGCGAAACATCATCATCATCATCATCATCATCATCATCAACATCATCATCATCATCATCATCATCAACGTCATCATCATCAACATCATCATGTTCAGCATCATCATCGTCATCGATATCAGGACCATCATCAACATCAGCCGAATCATCATCCTTATCTTCATCCGAATCATCGGAAGCGTTATCAACATCATCATCATCATCGTTCTCATTATCATCGTCTTTATGAACATCATCATCATCATCAGCACCATCATCATCATCATAACCAACCAAATATCCATCATCATCTCTATCCGAACCATCATCATTCATAAACATCACCATCATAATCGTCAACATCATCATCATCATCATCACCGTCCTCATCCAAATCATAATCATCATCATGATTATCATCATCATCGTTCCCGCATCATCATCATTATCATGCTGGCCATCATCATGAACTTCATCATCGTTATCGTCACCATCATCCAAATAGTCGTCATCCGGAAAATCATCATCATCTTCATCATCATCATCATCACCCATTACATCATCATCATCATCATCGATATCATCATCATCATCAACATCATCTTTATCATCATTATAAAACTCCTGATCATCATCATCATGATCATCATTAAACATCATCCTCATCATCATCATCTTCAGCATCATCATCGTCATCGATATCAGGACCATCATCAACTTCCGCCGAATCATCATCCTTGGCTTCATCCGAATCATCAGAATCGTTATCATCATCATCTTCATCATCATCGTCATCATTATCATCGTGATTATAATCATCATCATCATCATCAGCACCACCTTCATCATCATAACCAACCAAATATACATCATCATCTCTATCCGAACCATCATCATTCATAAAAATCACCATCATAATCGTCAACATCATCATCATCATCATCACCGTCCTCATCCAAATCATAATCATCATCATGATTATCATCATCATCGTTCCCGCATCATCATCATTATCATGCTGGCCATCATCATGAACTTCATCATCGTTATCGTCATCATCATCCAAATAGTCGTCATCCGGAAAATCATCATCATCTTCATCATCATCATCATCACCCATTACATCATCATCATCATCATCGTTATCATCATCATCATCAACATCATCTTTATCATCATTATAAAACTCCTGATCATCATCATCATCATCATCATTAATCATCATCCTCATCATCATCATCTTCAGCATTATCATCGTCATCCTTATCATGACCATCATCAAATTCCGCCGAATCATCATCCTTAGCTTCATCCGAATCATCAGAATCGTTATCATCATCATCATCATCATCATCGTCATCATTATCATCGTGATTATAATCATCATCATCATCATCATCACCATCATCATCATCATAACCAACCAAATATCCATCATCATCTCTATCCGAACCATCATCATTCATAAACATCACCATCATAATCGTCAACATCATCATCATCATCATCACCGTCGTCATCCAAATCATAATCATCATCATGTTTATCATCATCATCGTTCCCGCATCATCATCATTATCATGCTGGTCATCATCATGAACTTCATCATCGTTATCGTCATCATCATCCAAATAGTCGTCCTCCGGAAAATCATCTTCATCATCTTCTTAATCACCCATTTCATCATCATCATCATCATCGTTATCATCATCATCATCAACATCATATTTATCATCATTATATAAATCCTGATCATCTCATCATGATCATCAACAAACATCATCTTCATCATCACCATCATCACCACCATCATCCGAATTTTCACCATCATCATCATGAACATCATCCAAATGATCATCATCATAATCATCATCATCATCAATCGAATCATCAACATCAACTCATACAAAAACCCATCATCATTTTCCTGCGAATCATCACCATAAATATCATCATCGTCAACATCATCACCATCATCGTCCTCATCATCATCATCATCCGAATTATGATCATCATAATCATCATCATCATCATCATCATCACGGTCATCATCATCTTCATCATCATCCTCGTCATGATCATCTTGACCATCATCACGATCAGCGGTATCATCATCCGTCTCTTCATCCGAATCATCATATCGTTGTCAACATCTTCGTCCTCTCCATAATCACCTTTATCATAATCATCATCATCGTCATCATCGACGTCATCCTCATCATCATCATCAACATAATCATCATCATCACCATCATGACCATCATCATTTTCATCATCATCACCCGTAATATCATCATCATTATCATCATCATCACAATCATCACCATCATCATCATCATCATCATCAACATCATCGTCATCATCATCATCCTCAGCTTCCTCGTCATCATCATCATCATCAACAACCAAATCATCTTCCTCATCATAATCATCATCAGAAACGTCATCATCATCGTCATCATCATCATCATCCAAAAAAAAACATGATCATCATCCGAAAAATCATCATGTCATTCAACATCAGCAATATCATAGTCATGATCCAAATTCCCATCATAATCATCATCATCTTCATCATGACCGTCCTAATCATCATCATCATCATAATCATCATCATAATCATCATCATCGTAGGCAACATCATCATCCGAATGATCATCATCATCATCATCATCATCATCATGATCATCATCGTCATCATCTTCATCATCATCATCGTCATGATCATCTTGATCAGCATCAAGATCCGCGGAATCAACATGCTTTTCTTCATGCGAATCACCAAAATCGTTATCAACATCGGTATCATCACCATCATCATCATCATCATCATCATCATCATCATTTTTGTCATCAGCCTCCGTATCATCAGCATCATTATTCGAATCATTATTATAACCATCCTCATCCAGATCATCATCAACATCCCATTCATCATCACCCAAATCATCATCATCATCATCCTCATCATCCACATCACCATCATCATCCAATTCATCGTCATCACAAATTCCATCATCATATTCATCAACATGTTCGTCATTATCATCATCAACATGAACATCATCTTCCGAGTCATCAACGGTATCATCAACCTCATCATCATCATCATCATCACCATCATCCTCATCTTCACCATCATCATCCTAATCGATATCAGGAATATCATCAACATCAGCCAAAGCATCATCTTTATCTTCATCCGAATCATCAGAATCGTTGTCATCATCATCATCATCATCATCGTCATCATTATCAGCGTCATTATGAGCATCATCATCAGCAGCAGCACCATCATCGTCATCATCAACTTCATCAGGAGCCTTCGTATCATCATCAGCATCAATCGAACCATTTTTATTACAAACAACGGGATACCCATCATCATCTCTATCCGAGTCATCATCNATCATCATCATCATATACATCATCATCCGTATCATCATCATCGTCATCATCATCATCATCATCATCATCATCATCATCATCACCATCATCCTCATCTTCACCATCATCATCCTCATCGATATCAGGAATATCATCAACATCAGCCAAAGCATCATCTTTATCTTCATTCGAAACCTCAGAATCGTTGTCATCATCATCAGCATCAATCGAAACATTTTTATTACAAACAACGGGATACCCATCATCATCTCTATCCGAGTCATCATCGCACAAAACATCAACATCATAATCGTCATCATCATCATCAACATCATCACCATCGTCAATGAAATCATTATCATCATCATCGTCATCATCGTCATCATCATCATCATCATCATCATCATCACCGTCGTCGTCGATTCCTATGAAGATGATGATGATGATGACTATGATGATCATTATGATATTGATGATGACGACGATGACGATGATGATGATAATGAAGACGATGAGGATGATAAACCGGATGATATTTGTGATGATGTTGTTGAAGATGAGGATGATGGTAATGATGACGTTGAAGAGGATGACGATGATGATGATGATGATTCGGATGATGATTAAGATTACGATGATGACGAATCGGATGAAGATGATGATGATGATGTGGATGATGATGTTGATGTTGATGTTGATGATGATGAATCGGATGACGATGATGATGATGATGATGATGATGACGGTGAAGATGATGAAGGTGTAGATGATGACGATTCGGATGACGAAGATGATGATGATAATGAAGACGATGAGGATGATAAACCGGATGATGATTGTGATGATGCTGATCATGATGATGTTGACGATGATGATGATGGCAATGATAATGATGATGATGAGGATGACGAGGATGATAATCATTCGGATAAAGATGATGATGATGATGATGATGATGATGATGATGATGATGATGACGAATCGGATGTTGATGGTGTTGATGATGATGGTGAATCGGATGATGATGCTCGTGATGGTGTTGATGATTCGGATGATGACGACGATGATGATGATTCGGATGATGATGGTGATGCTGATGATGTTGATGGTGATGATGATGAAGATGATGATGATGGTGATGATGATGATGATGAAGTTGATACGGATGAGGATTATTCGGACAAAGATTATGATGTTGATAACGATTATGAAGATGATACGGATGATGATGATTCGAATTATGATGATGATGACCAATAGGATGATGTTGATGATGGTGATGATGACGATGAAGTTGACGCTGTTGATGATGATCATTTGTAGGATCACGATGATGATGACGATGACAATGATGATCATGATAATGATGTCTTTAATGATGATGATGTTGTTGTTTATGATGTTTATGAGGATGATTCGGACGACGAATATGATGACGATGATTGTTATGAGTCGATGATAATGATGATGCTGATCACGATGAATCGGATGATGATGATGCTTATTATTTCGATGATGACGATGGATGAACATGATGATGATGTTGTTTTTTATGATGTTGATGATGATGATTATGATGATGATAATGATGATGATGACGAATCGGATGATGACGATTCGGATGAGGATGTTGATGACGATTACGAGGATGATGTGGATGATGACGATTCCGATGGTGATTATAATGATAATGAATCCGATGATGAAGACTAATTGGATGATGATGACGATGATGAGGATGAGGACGATGATGATGATGAAGAATCGCATAATGATGATGATTTGTATGAGGATGTAGATAATGATGATGACGATGATGACAACGATGCTGATGATGATGACGAGGATGATGTGGATGATGAAGATTCGGATGGTGATTATAATGATAATGAATCCGATGATGATGATCAAATGGATGATGATGGTGATGATGATGATGATGATGATGA